TGTCCTTGTCCCCTCTCCACAGCTGTGGTGCAGTCCACCGTCTCCAGCGGCTATGGCAGTGGCAGCAACATGGGCAGTGGCATGGGCCTGGGAGGAGGCAGTGGCTACTCCTACAGCTCTGGCCACAACCTTGGAGGTGGTTTCAGTTCTGGCAGTGGCAGAGGCATCAGCCTTGGGGGCGGCCTCAGCTCTGTTGGGGGCAGCTCGTCCTCCATCAAGTACACCAGCTCCTCCTCCAGCAGGAAGAGCTACAAGCACTGAAGCCCTCTCAGCACCAGGCAGGTGCTTGGTCCCTCTGGCTACCGGGCTTCTTCTCAGGTTCTCATCGTCCCATGTCTCTGCTCTGTAGTTAGAACCAAGAGTGAAAAAGCCCCCCTTTTATCTCTCTGTACCCCTTCCTTGTTAGTTGCTGGCTTTCAGTATTTTAACCTCTAATGCAACATTGTGATTTACTCACATATTGTCTGCATTGCATTGCTGAGTTACCAAGGCTTTACCTGCAGTGTATTACCACTGAAGTTGAATACTAAGGGAAAATTGCCTATAGCACTTTGCCTTGCTGGGACTTACTTCAGAACAGGGCAGCTACCCTTCATCTCAGTCGGCCAATAAATCTTCCAATCTACATGTGTTGTGAGACTCTCTTGTAGTAAGTGTAATAGCAGAAGCCCTTCGGTATATGGACCTGTTTCCCTGTGATATCTTCCCTGCTTGTCCCTTTCATACAACTTCTAAATAAAGCACATTTTAATATAATGCTTTGCTCAGTGTTGCATTACTTCATCGTAGCAGTTCTGTATTTTTTTGTATTAAATAATCTCCATCTTCTTCAATCAGTGAGTGATATTTGCTACCTTGATGATCAGATTCCTCACATCAAACTCCATTGAAATTTTTGGCAAGTGTGGAGCAGTCTTTCTACCATCATTGTCCACTCTGTTTTAAGGGTCTGTGCCATGAATTATCAGGACAAACATCCCAAGGCCAATAAAAGCAAAGTATAAGATGAAGGCTATTTGACAAAGAATAAGATATTTGCTGTATATCAAATGTGTCTAAGCTTCTACAGAGGGTGGCATAGCAATATGGCACAGAGATGCAAAAGAGAGATGCAGAGAGAAAGTTCTGTGTTTGGGGAACTCTGAGTTGACCCAGTACTCTCTGTAAACAAAAAGCCATGACTCCAAAAGCTCACTGTAGCAATATGAGCCAGGATCTTGCTGTCCCAAGGGAACAAAGAACCCCAAGAACAGAGCTTCAGAAGGCCTGTTGTCTCTTGTAAATTCTAGCAAGCTGGGAAACAGGGTCACAGAAAACAGCAGATTCCTGGAGGCACCCTGTCTGTTCTTTGATCCTTCACCTGGCACTTTATGGATTAGTGTTGTGTGAACTTAAGAGTTTGGTGAAGGCTAGAAGCCAATATAGACAGTAGTTTGTTTTCACAAAATTGATTACACACATTCCTCAGCCTGTTTTTAGCCCTCAATAAATGTGAAAAGTTTTGGTGGCTCAAGACTCACTTAGAACATAGTTAATCTAGTCTTCTCATCTTTTTTTTTTTTTTTTGGCTCTGACTGATTTCATTCAACAGCTAATGGCTTTAATTGTTGTCAGTCTTGGAGGTGAAGGGGAATCACAGCAGAGTGCTAAGGAAAGAAAAGTTTTGCTGGCGTGGTTGTAAAGAGAATCAGAGCACTTTCCCCCAGGCACACAGGCCCTGCAATCAACAGTGCAACAGGTAGCTTGATGGATGCAGAGCTGGCGCCGGTACAACCCAGAAGGTGTAATTGTTCCCAAGTCTCATGACCTCTCCTGAGATGCTGTCTAGTGTCTAAGCCCTGGAATCTCACAAGCTCTTATTCAAGCACCCATCCCAGGTGTAAACTAGGGATGGAGTGAGGCAGTCCTCACCCACATTGTGCAATGACACACACTGGTGTCTCAGCCAGGCTCAATCACAATTGGCCAATTAAGGGAATATCTGCTTTTATATAGCCAATTTCGTATATCTCAGTGAATAGGGTTGAAGTAAAGTTTGGGTAAAGATTGAGGCAAGTGGCTTGTTTTCTCAGGAGAGTACAGCTTGGCTGTCTCCCACAAGCAGTAGGATTACTTCCATTACTATAAAACTTGCCTGACAGAAGGTATCAAGAACAAGTACAGTATGCATGCTTGTGAGTTCCAATCGTCATTCTAGAAATGCATTGTAATGTTTTATGTCTAGGTGTGTGATGGCCTAAACCCAGACTTTTATCATAGGTATTGCCATGGTAAAATTTAGCTGACCATAGGGTAGTAAAAACAGGCCTGGCATATGGAGGAAATATATCTTGAGAAAGCACTGACTATAAACAGTGACAAGAAAAAAAGTAGCTACATGTATAGAAAAAAAACTGTTTGACAAGCAAGATCTATTGCATATTCCCTTTATATGCACACCACGTCTTCTGGTCAGGACTGCTCACTTAGACTCTGAAACGGGTCTATACTGACAGCCACTGAGCTCAGCTCATAAAAATCTTCAAATTTTAATTGGCTACTTGGATTCCTATATTGATTATGAACCCACAACAGGTGTTCCCACAAAGCCTCATGTAGTCGTTCTACACTTTGTGATTAATTTATGATCCAAGACTGGAATTATGGGTGTGAGTGCTGCTGGGTTATGGGTGTGAGTGCTACACCCATCCTGGGGCAGATAGCCTGAAGGCGATATGGGGAGAAAGAGAGGCTTGCTGTCTGCCTCTGCTGCTGCCACAACCCTTGGCTCTTTGCTATTTTCTACCACCATGAATTGTTGCCCCTGCCATGTGCTACTCAGCCTTGTAGCCAGCAAGAATGGACTGAAACCTCCACAAACTGGGAGTTAAATAAACTTTTCCTTCCTTAATTTTGGGTGTTGAGTATTCTGTCCCAGCAATGAGAAAAGAGTAACTGAAAGTTCTTTTTTTTTTTTTTTGGTGGAACCGGGGATTGAACTCAGACCCTTGTGCTTGCCAGGCAAGTGCTTATTCTACTGAGCCATCTCCTCGGCCCTTGAAACAGGTTGGTTTTTTGGTTTTTGGGTGTTTTTTTTGGGCAGAACTGGGGATTGAACTCAGGCCCTTGTACTTGCCAGGGAAGTGCTTAATTCCACTGAGCCATCTCCTGGGCCCGAGAAGAGTAACTGAGACCTGCATCCTGAGGAAATGGTGACGCAAGTGAAAAAAGATGGACCCTCATGGATACACATTATAACAATCTTCACAAACAGGAAACCTGAAGCCCTTCCATCTGGTCAAATTAACAAAAACACTGGAATGTAAACTCATATTCTAATTTCTTGGTGTGAATAAATAGAAGAAGCACATTCCTCCTTCTCACACCCTTTCATCTCACTGACACTTAGGAAGCTGAGTTCATGGTATTCAGAAAGGTAGTCTCATTCCTCTCTCCACAGTAAACTACTGGGTTTAACTTCTAGGAATGAGGGAGGGAAAATTCAGTAAGCTTCAAGGTTGGTCAACTAATTTGTAGTCTTCCAGAGCTACGGCAACCCTCAGTGTCCCATCAGTGATGATTATCTTCCTACCCCTCAAGTTCTGGCATCACGAGGCATATTTTCTTGCATTCTTTTGGTTTTCCTGGAACCATCTGCACCATCACCTGCTGTGTTCAGCTGTCACTACTCTTTCAGCAACATATCTGGCTTTTCTTTAAATGCCAATTCATTTCCTGCCCAGCAGTTCCCTGACAGTAGAAGGTTGAAGATTGGCTTCCAAAATCTAATCCCACTTACCCACGTGTACTTGTACCCACAGAAATAATGGAAAAGAATATTATTGACAGGGAGAAGTTTTTAGTACATAACACACAAGCAAACACTATTCATATAGAATAAAGTAAAATAGTATTGTGCATTTCTAAATTTGAAAATACAATAAAAGTACCACATACAACTTGGTTTCAAAGATTCATTACTTACATTCAAGTGACAAAACATTAGAAGACACTAAATACCAAATTTTACAAAATGATAAATAAATCGTCAGAATGGCCACAGAGTTGTTAAATAAATTGCTCATTAATGAAAAAAAAAACCCAAATAAAAGGACTGGACTATATTTTTACTAATTTCCATGACCCATGCAGGTAGTGGGGCACTGGGAAGGGGCCAAGAGAGAGTAAGAAAAACAGGACACATAATAAAGGCAAAGCTGGGGCCCTGTGGAATTTGGCTTCTCTGGTGGAGAGTCAATGACCACCCAGCACAGGCTGCATCTTTATTTATACATAGTATAAAAGGCAGAAATGTGGGGCAGGGCCAAGAGAGCAAAGTCTCATGATTTTGCTGAGAACACTCAAAGCAAAACATTTTCAGAGCCATCTATGCTGTAGTTAACAGGGAGAAATGCCAAGGCTATACCTGTTGATATGCTGCTAAGCTACAGGTCAACTTGCTTGTGTGGTCTGCCTCTAGCATTTCATGTTTCTGGGACAGACTTTGCTCTTTCCTCAAGGAGTTTACTGACCTCCTGTCCAGCTACTTTCCACAACTGGTTGATTTGTCTGACATTAAACAAATGGTACCAAATCTTTATAAACTTTTCTGAGAAATAGCAAGAAAGAGACCACTTTCTAGTTCAATTTATGCAGACCAATATTACTGTTATAGTATGTGATACTATAACTAGATAATGAAACTTGAGTAGGCCAAAGGACAGACTAACACCTCTTATGAATACAGACAGAAAATCATTCAATTCAATAGCAGTTAAATAGTATCAAATTGATTCCTACTCAGCATACTACAAATTATACACCATGACAAAGTAGGAGTTATTCTAGATATGCAAGACTAATGTTTAAGTGCAAGTATCTAATTCACTACATTAAGAAGCAAAGAAGGAAAATCAGATTAGTTTCTTGTTATTGAATTTTAAGATTTCTTGTATATTGTGTGTGTGTGTGTGTGTGAGAGAGAGAGAGAGAGAGAGAGAGAGAGAGAGAGAGAGAGAGAGAGAGACAGGGAGAGAGAGACAGAGAGAGAGAGACAAAGAGAGAGAGAAACTTTATTATTCTCTCATGGTAAATACACATTCATCTTGCTTAGAAATTCAGAACTTATAATGAGACAACTCTCCTCTACTAATTTAATATCATATGCATCATGTTCAAGATGTGTTGTCTCATCTTCTGCTTCTGACTCTTCAATAGGAGAAATGGTGCCATCATCATGCAAGCATTTGTATCTACAACTATCTTCGTGAGCTTTTATTTTTATTTTATTTATTTATTTTGTATTTTAGGGAAGGGTCTACAGGGTGTTCAGAGTCTAACTACTAGATTGGACTTGTAGTGATCCACCTGTTTACAGCCTCCCAAGAGCTGGGATTATAGGTGCATGCCACCATGCCCAGTCTCATTTGCCATCTCAGTGCACCCCAGGGGCGGGGCCAGCAGGGCAGGCCCAGGGATCGAACCCCTGGCCCCTGCACCTGTTTGCAGGCACTTTATTCCACTGAGCTATTTGGCTGGCCCTGTATCTATGACTATCAAGGTCTTCTTTTTCTAAATCTTCACCAGTATTCATTTGTTTCAATGATTCCTTAAGGTGGTGTTCATACTTCAGTTTTTCAATATAGGTAAAAACTCCTCTTGCAACAGCTTGCTCAAAACTTAAAATTTTCCTCCAAGGTAATGGTTTCCTTCCATCCTCAGATCGTAAATTGGAAAAGTAGGTCCTTTCCCTTTGATTTGTTTTTTAACCTAATTTT